TATTTACATAGTAAATGCATATTAAAACAGTGCTAACTTCTTGTCTCTAAGCCTAAGGTAACCCATTTTTTAAAGGGCTTATTCATTAAATTTTCAGACACAAATTTCAGACACGTCCAATGTCTTTTTAGACTTATTTTATGAACCATTTAGAATAAATAAATTTTAAAAATAAAACCATGAAAACTCTCATTCACCTTAAAATCATGGATTTTAAAAAAAATTAAAGGCCATACCAAATATTTTTGTTTCTTTCAGAAATATCTATTCCTGACTCTCATCTTTTTCCTTCACTCATTTCTTGAATGCCTTCTATCTGTTAGTACTGGGTGTTAAAATAAAATGGTTAATCTTACTGCCTTTAAGGAGTTTATAGTCTAGCAGAGACAGACTTGTAAAAACAAAATAACAGTTCATGATTACACCTTGGCATCTGTTATGAGAGAAATATGTTTTTCTCTCTGCCTTCCAGCTCATTTTTCCCTTTTTCCTTCAAATTCTGCTGCTTTTCTCATTATAAATTGGTTTATATGGATACCTGGCTGAACTAAACTGGAATAGTAGAAATTAAGTGATTGATTTATCCAATTTTAATAATTTGTTAGAAATAAGAAGGTCATAGGATTGCATGAAAACCATCAGCTAGACAGCCTGGTAATTTCAAAGTGCTACATTTTGAAAAGTGAGGCAAATGACATCTCATCAATAATGAAAATAATTGGGTGACAGTGTTCAATTTTCAATATGCAAATTGTTTTAACATATCATAAACTAAGTGAAACATTAGTAGGACAAGAGAAATCCACTTGTTTTTTTTAAATTAACTAGAGGCCTGGTGCATGAAATATTGTGCACTGGGGGGGTGTCCCTCAGCCAAGCTTATGCCCTCTTGCAGTCCAGCATCGCTCACTCCTTACCACCTGCCTGCAGCGGAGGCAGGAGAGGCTCCCGCCATAGCCATGGCACTCACCAGCTGTGAGCCCGACTTCTGTTTCAGTGGTGCTCCCCGAGTGGGAGCGCACTGATCACCAGGGGCCAGCTCCTGTGTTGAGCGTCTGCCTCCTGGTGATCAGTGTGCTTCATAGTGGCTGGTCCTTCCACCATTCAGTCGATTTGCATATTAGGGTTTTATTATACAGGATAACAGTCCTAAACAGATTGAAATAATTTAATTGCACTGAAAAGTGTCCCATAATCTCTAAATTATAGGTATTTGTACGTTAACCCAGATAGTTATGGCAAATACCTGGATACTTTACAAATCACCTGAAATCATGTATTATCTATCACAGACTTTCTAATCTGTCTAAATATCTAGTTTCAAGTGACCCATAGGGCATATGTCAAATGCCTGCCTTGGAAAGTTATCTGTCATTTCAGCAACATCAGTTTTACAGCAGTAGGGTAGTTTCCATGACATTTAATCTGTGTTCCCTTGAAAAAATAATTGTATCACTGTTCCTAAGTATATGTTTTCAAATGCAGGGCACTTTGCACCTTATGTTTTTTAAATATATGCAGATCCCCATTGTCTCCTGTGGCCACGTCAAACTCAACACTAAGAGGGTTTATATATGAATCCAAAGGTTCCATTGGCATTCCTTGTAATAAATTTCTGAAATTTCTTTGTGTTTTTTATATTTTAAAAACTAAATTCTATTAGCAAGACTTTTTAAACCTGGGCATGACTTTTATATTTTCTTCATATTTTTCTAAGATTTTCTTTTGCCAGGTGAACACACACACACACACACACACCATATTCACTAAAAATGTTCTCCCCATTTTCATTCATAGGCTTGCAGTCAGTGTTTTTCAGATTTTCCCTTACTGGTAAACAACACTGCATCTGACTCTATTTCTTTGCTATTTGCCTATTTTTCCCCATACTAAATGTAATCATTGTAATCACCCATCATATACTAGTATTTTTAGACTCTTTACTGATAACCATAGCATTTTCTACTTAGCATTGCCATCATTTCTTATTAAGGTTATTTATTCCTTTATCAGATGGTTACTATATAAAGACATTCTTCATTTCACAAGAAAAATAGATTTAGAAATAAACAACCTAGAGAAAGCATCAAGGTCAGAAAAACAGGTAAGATGATGAGAGAATGTGGAAAACACAGGAATGGATAATGTGCTGGAGAGTGGAAAATGATGGCAATGGAGCTCTATAGAGGAGAGGCAATGGCTAGACCACAGAAGCCTGAGATGCACCTGTAGAGAGGACAGGTGGCTGACACAAACTCTCTGTGTGACTTCAGGCAAGCCACTGAATTTCTCTAGTATTGTTTCTTCATGTCTAAAACAACGAGTTCAGTACCCTTGGGGGATATTCCCAGAAGGAACACAGGAAAAGGCAGACAATTTAGGGAGAGCTCAACTATCAAAAGATTGGGAAAAAGAGAAAAAAATGGGGGAAAAACGTGAGAAAATAATTTAAACACTGGCTTTAAGAAATTGATAGGTATCACCATTATGAAACTCAGAGGAAAGGCAGGGATGGGGAGGTGGGAAGGAAGAGGTCAACCAAAGATCTTGTATGCATATATGAATAACCCATGGACACAGACAATAAGGTGGTGAAGTCCTGGGGGAGGGGGCGGGCTAGAAGGGGTCAATGGGGGACAAGGGAGACATATGTAATACCTTCAACAATAAAGATTAAAAAAAAACATTAATCAAATCAAGCAAAAAAAAAAGAAATTGGTAATCATCCAGAATCACCTATAGAAATAAAATAATTAAGCATTCAGTTTTCTCCTTTAGAGAGGTATCTCACATACACACATACACACACACACACACACAAACACACACCAGGATGCAATTATGGTAGAGTATAGTGTATTATCTACTGGAGTTATGTAGAGGCTAAAAAAACTTTGGGTGCTTGAAGTTGGTCCTTTATAAAATAGAGCGAGACTATATTATTACATTAGTAATACTAGCTGTAGGCTAGATCCAGAATAAGAGAGAGAGAAAGAGAAAGAGAAAGGCAGAGAGAAAGAGAGAGAGTGGAGGGAGAGTGAGAAAGATAGAAAAAAAGAGATAAAGGTAGAAGGATAAATTGATAATTACATAAGAGAAATGAAGATGGAGACACAAACTCTAGGAATTGGCACCTTAGTTTTACTTCTGTCATCTGAGAGAGAAAAGTAATGGGGATCTGACCTCTAGCTTTCTTTGGAAATTATTTAATTTAGCTTGTATCAGAATAAAAAGAGGAGACAGACATTAATAGCAAGAGTAACCAATTATTGCAATTCACTAGCTTTACATCTATACTAATAAAAGGTTAATATGCTAATTAGACCAGGAGACCTTCTGGGAGACCTTCTGAACATTCTTCCAGACAAAACCATGGTGGTGGGGCTGAGGCAGAGGTGGTTAGGGGAGATCAGGCCAGCAGGGGAGGGCAATTGGGGGTGAGCAGGCTGGCAGGGCAGGCAGTGGGGGGCAAGCAGGCCGGCAAAGGGGGGCAGGTGGGGGTGAGCAGGCCGGCAAGGGTAGGCAGTTAGGGATGATCAGGCTGCCAGGGGGGCGGGGTGCCATTGGAGTTGATCAGGCTGGCAGGCAGAGTGGTTAGGGGCAATCAGGCTGGCAGGCAGGTGAGTGGTTAGGAGCCAGCGGTCCTGGATTACAAGAGGGATGTCCGACTGCCAGTTTAGGCCTCATCTCACATTGGGCCTAAACTGGCAGTCAGACATCCCCGAGGGGTCCCAGATTGGAGAGGGTGCAGGCCGGGCTCAGGGACACCCACCCCCCCCAATGCATGAATTTTGTCTACTGAGCCACTAGTATATTAATAATTAGTAAAGTGAATGTAGCATAGGTAAATTAATTGCCCCAGCTAAATGGCGATAGGGCACTCACTACAATCTTCGTTCAATATACCACAAAAGTAAATCATCTGTTGAAACATATAGTTCTTCAGGGTTATTGGTATCCTGGTGACTTTTTGCTTGTTACTTCTGCACTTGAAAAAACTGTATAACTCTCCATATTTTTAGATTTCTTTTATGGACAAGGAAAGAGCTTAAAAGAGCTTATCTGATTATATTTTTAAACTTGAAATTTCACTTTCCAAAATTAATTTAATTTTTAAAAAATATTGCCTTGATTCTGCCTTCTGATCCATATTTCATTAAATAGGAAGAGAGCAATAGACTCATGGACCACCAGCTGGAGTAGAAAATAAGCAGTGGTGTGAATAATCCCCAAACGTTGGGTAATTATAAGAAAAATTCCATTTGTCTCCTGAATACACACAATGAGTTGGAGAGAATAGATTTACTAATCTAATTACTCTCTGTTGTAACTGAGCCAATACTGAAATGACTTTACACACCCTGGGTACACACCAACTGTTGGAGGTAAGGAGGGACCTATAACCATACTGGATACTGAGGGAAAACATTTTTAATATGCAATCCACAGGGTAAAATGCCATCCTTAGAGCTGTGTCTGAATTATGACAAAACTGGTCAATTTCTGTAGTTCGTATGAGAAATTAAACAAAATTCTTTAAAAGGAAAATCAAGTTGGAACTTTTTATTGGTACATACTAAATTGATCACTTCAGTCAAAATACCTAACTTCAAATGCTGATATAGTGAAAGTAAAAATTATAGTACCAAGTGGCTTATAAGAATTGATCATTTTTCCTACTTTATAAATAAAGAATTAAAAACGACGTGTGCCATATTTATAATAACTCTATATAAAGTGATGATTATATAGAAAGACTGGATATTTTTAAAGTTCACTATCAAAGAGGAAATGCAGACAAAGAAGACAAGGGAAAAATATAAATTAAGCTTCCATCTCTCTAGCATTTATTGTGTATTGAGCATAGTGATTGTCTATAAGCAGTTTACTAAAACACTCAAAACAATTCCCAAATATGTAGGTATATTATTGCTGTGTTCCCAAAAAGGAAATGGTGGCTGGCAGAGTTTGAGAAATTTATCTTTTTTCTTTTTTTCCTTGAAAATATGGAACGCTTCATGAGTTTGTGTGTCATCCTTGCACAGGAGCCATGCTATTCTTCTCTGTATTTTTACAATTTTAGTATATGTGTTACCGAAGCGAGCACTTGAGAAATTTATCTTAAACAGGATATTGAGTTGGTAAGTGAAAGTTTTCTAATTTGGACTAAGATATGTCTGTTTGTAAACCTGGCTTTCCCCATTTGTGTCCCCTTAAAATCAGAAGACAAAAGGAAAAGACAGAATGCAATGTTTTGTCTAGTATAGTGGGACTCACTCATACAAAGCGATAGACCCGTCCAAATCTGAAAGTCACATTCTGAACCCCAAAGCCAAAAATAAAAAAGACCTTTTTTTTAATTTAATAGGATTCATTTATTTATTTTAAAAGATTCTGTAATGTAGAATTTTCTTAGCATTGTTTGATTTATGTCAGCTTTACTTAAAAAAGCAGGTGTTGAAGAGGATTGAAGTCACCAAGGTCCAATTAGGCCTTGACTAACACTAGAGCAAGTTATCTTTCTGGACCTGGGTTTCCTGCAGAACAATGTGATGTTGAACTCAATGACTTTCAAGATTCTTTTCAGTGACAAAACTCAGTTAACATAAGCACCCTGATTCTCAATTCAAACGTTTTTTGTATTACCCCAATCTATTTCTTATATTACCATAAATCCTTCAGACGTGCTGCTGATCAGTGATTCAGTTCATCAAGACCTGATCAGAACAAACATATAAAGAGACAAAGAAGCAATTATGTTCAGTTTCCCTGTTGTCACCTGACATGGAAAGGGGCTAAAGATATATTTATATTGTGATTCCAAGGGATAAAGGAACCCTATTTGAATCAGTCCTCTGAGTCTGTTCTTATGCTTTTGGGCTGACCTACTTATTTGAGGGATATAAGTTTCTTGATTTTTTTCCCTCCTCCATTCAAATTGTATTGATCCTGTCAAGTGCATCAATGTATCAGAACCCTATGAAAATGGAAGGATTGATCCAGGTCAAAGGTATTAACCACAAGGAGAAAAAAGAGTCTTGAATGGAAACACATATTTACAACTTGCTTCCTTTACATTCTTTCTCTCTCTATTTTTGTTTCTGTCCTATAATTTTCTAATAAGTGAATTAAATCCATATTTGCCATTATGGCAGTTATTAATATCATAACATGCAGCTTCCCTGGTACAAAAAAGTGAAAAAAAAAAGAGTAAAATCTGGGACATTTGCCATTTTCATAGAGGCTACAGTGGTGGTTGTTTCTTTTGAGATGTCAAGTTGTTTTATTATATTTATTCCCTGACTGTACTGTATTTATCCATATTTAATTTACCATCTTATTTTGCTTTGTGGTTGCAGCCAGGGAATTTGAGAATGTTTGGCATCCTACATTTAATTTATTCCTAAAATAATCAGATCATAATTTATACCTGTGCAAAATGTCTTTAATGTAGATCAGGGTCAGCAAACTTTTTATATAAAGTGCCAGTAGTAACTATTGTCATCTTTATGGATGACATACAGTCTCTGCTTCAATTACTTAAGTCAGCTGTTATAGTGTACAAGCAGCCATCCTATCTAATAATAGACAAACATGGTAATTGACCATACCTTTGCTACACCTCCCATTGGCTAATCAGCATGATATGCAAATTAACCGCCAACAAAGATGGCAGTTAATTTGCATACGGCAGGCAAATCCCACTGCGCCACCCTGCCTGGGGCTGGCGGCAGTGCGATCCCTAGATGCTGGCTGCCCCAGTGCGAGATCCTGGCCTGCCATGTGTGGGGCGGGGTGGGCATCAGCGAGATCCCCAGCAGCTGCCCGCCCCAGCCCGGGATCTGGGCCTGTCATGTGTGGGGTGGGGCGGGCGGCAGCACTATCTGAGCAGCCGCCCCACCCAGCTCAAGATCTGGGCCTGCCATCTGCAACCAGGAGAGATGGGGCAGACACCATGGGATTGGGAGTGCCATCTGCCACCAGAGGAGCGGGCCTAAGCCAGCAGGTGGTTATCTCCTGAGGGGTCCCAGACTGTGAGAGGGCACAGGTTGGGCTGAGGGACCCCCCGCCACCACCAGTGCACAAATTTTTGTGCACCGGGCTTCTAGTCTATAATAATAAAAGCATAATATGAAAATCAACTGAATGGCTGAACAGCAGAACAACCATCTGGATAACCACGCTATGACACCCACTGGCACCAAGCCAGCCAAGGTGGGTGCAATGCAATTGGTCGGGGGCCTTGCCATCACTCCATGATCACCCCGCAGAGGGAGGCCCAGGCCACCGGCCCTCAGGGTGATCAATTGAAGAGCTCCACAATTGCCACAAAGAGGGAGGCCCAGGCCACCGACCGGCAGGCTGTAGCAGGTGGTCAAGGCCTTGCTCTGTGTGGGTGATCCATGGTGGAGCCCCAGCTGGGTGGGAGGGGCTTCCCTCTGTGGGGTAATTGATTGTGGGGCTCCCAGACTGTGAGAGGGCACAGCCAGGCTGAGGGCCCCGCCCCACGAGTGCACAGATTTTGTCCACCGAACCTCTAGTAGATATATAAACAAGGATTGTGGCTATGTTCCAGTAAGACTTCATTTACCAAAACCATGGCACAGGTAAGATTTAGCAATGGGTTGTAGTTTGATGACCTTGATTTAGATCCTTTGATTTCTGGCCATACATTTAACTCATGTTTTCAAGCATCAAACTAGCGTTATATGTTGAACATAAATACATATGCAATATGGTTTTGGAAACCTATTACTTCTGTCTGGGTTGTTCTTTTCTTGATTTACAGTGGAATCCTACTCAGCTTTCTGAGTCCAGATCAAATTTCATCTCTAGGGAGCTTTCCCAATCCCTTCTCATGTCCACCATTAATTTACAACTCAGTTATTCCTTCTTTGTAGAGCTGTAACTTCTCACATATATTTAACATTGTGCAATATGACAATTTTATGTGTTTGTTCTTCATCAAATTGTAAGTTTTTAAGAGAAGGATAAACTGTTATTCCTCTTTGATCCCTATGAACAAGGACAAGGACCGACTTTAGCTTGTAATTAAAAATTCAGTAAGTGCTTATTCAACAATATGCACTAGGGAAATTAAGTTCATTATTTTTATTTTACTTTATAAGACAATTGATCTTTTTGAATTTCAGGAAACATGATAACGTATTATGTTTGTTTAATTTAAAAAACAGTATTTAGCTAAGAGGTGGATTGATGCCATCACCATAGAATATGCAGGGTGTCTCCCACAAAAAAACTGCATACATACTTTAACATCTGATAGCTCAATTTTGAAAATGAAATATAGTTTAATAAACACTGCCTTTATAATTATTCAAAGTATGTAAACATTTTTTGGGACACCCTATATTTGTTTTTTTTAACAAATATGAAATCTGAAGATGTCAAACCATCATACAACCTTAAATAAAAGACTACTTTACCATTCCCTTTACAGCTAGGTTTTGCCAGGTGACTAATTTCTAGGCAATAACAGGGTGGGTGGGTGGGAGGAGATCAACCAAAGAATATGTATGCATATATGCATAATCCACAGACACAGTTGATGGCTGGGGCAGGGGGCAGAGGCAGACTAGGAAGGGTCAATGGTGGAAAAAAGGGGACATATGTAATACTTTCAACAGCAAATATTTAAGAAAAAAGTTTTTTAAATAATATATAAATGAAAAATGTTGTGTGGAACTTCCAGGAAGGCTTCTTTAAGAGACTTAACCCAGGTGAAAGGAGCATCCCTCTTCCCTTTCCTATCTTCTTTTTTCATTTTTTCTGGAATGTGAAAGTCATGAGTCAGTCCCAAGTGGACATCTTGGAGCAGAAATACAGACTAAACCTGGGTTCATGTTGGAACTTCTGTGCCCCTTGTGGACTGCCTTCTCCAAATTCTTTTATGCAACATTGTTGTTTCTGGTTTCTATTGCAGAAACCTGTTTGTTAATATATAACTAATACAGTGTTATATATTCCATTTAACATTAAATAATTTCTCTGTATTCTAAACCTTATGCCAATGTATCTTTGCCAATATAGAAATAAATTAAGACCCCTTGAGTGATAAAAATATAAGAAAAATGAGAAAGAAGATAAACATCAGAAAAGATAAACATCAGGCCTTTCCAAAACATGTCAGTAATTATTTATAAAATACTAGAAGCCTGTTGCACAAAAAGATTCGTGCAATAGGCCTTCCCTTCCCCTGGCTGCCGGCACCGGTTTTCCTCCGGCACCCAGGACCCAGGCCTTCGCTCCGACCGGAGCCACCTTCAGTCTTTGCTGCTCCGGCTAGAGCCACCTTCAGTCTTCACAGCACCACTTCGCGCCTATGTATGCAAATTAACCGCCATCTTTGTCAGCGGTTAATTTGCATATCTCGCCGATTAGCCACTGGGAGGCGTAGCAAAGGTACGGTCAATTACCATGTTTGTCTATTATTATCTAGGATAATATTTAGGATTATTTTCATCTAAAATGAGATGCAAACTGTGAACATGATTCTTTCCTATCTCTCTCATAAAATTACTTCTCATTTAAGGCAAACATTTAGGATATTTGTAATGGTAGGAGAAGAAAATACCTGTACATATTGTTGTAAGCCATTTAAGCATCAGTCTGTTTTGATTATTGTGTCTTGATATTAGCACTATATGTGATTGATAATTTAGCAAGATTTGTGCTCCAATCAATTTTTCAGAAGGTTGACCATGGTGAGAAATAAAGGGTTCCTATTTTGGAGAGCATTAGGTAAATGACAGCACGTACAGAGTCCGCCTGGCTTTGCATCCTGGATGTGTTGCTTCCCACCTGTGTGCACTTCAGCAAGTTATGGAAGTTCCTAGTGGCTTCAGTTTTCCTATCTATAACACAGTGATAACAACATTAACCCCATTGGGTTTTGTGATGATAAAATGGATTAATATATGTAAAATACTTAGGAATAGTAAACACTTTTACTTTTGGCTAGTTTTTTTTTTTTTCTTTACCGTCAATTTTACTTTAGCAATGACCCATAATCTGCAACTTGCCATCTATGTGACCCAGAAGGAGACACTTCACTTCTCTAAAACCTTAAGTTTTTTATCTCTAATA